TCGCCTGGTGTTCACTATGTTTGCCTACTTATGAGTAGTCTGACTGTGTCTGACATTCAGCTTTCGGGCCAGTTGCACCGTAGATCAGTTGTAGAGTATTCAGCAACCTGGTGAGTAGTTTTCTTCGTGAAAATATACTACGATATCTCGAATACCGTACCAACTGAAACTTGAGGTAACATTTTGTGCAGCATCCCCAGTTGATGAGCACCATAAACGAGAGATTCCCTTGAGTCTTCAATGAAAAGAAGATTGATTAGCAAATGAGTGTATCTAGTTTATGTGATGCTAAAATGAGCTGCAACTTAGCCCCACTATTGTTTTTTGTTGTCAATCGACAGACTTGTCTTTTTGTGTTACTGATCTGCAGACAACCTGTCTGTAATGGTACTGCAAGAGGCGTTTTATTCGTTTTCATGCTTACAAGTGCAAATTTACCTTTCTGAAACCCAAGTATGTTGTCAAAATGGCTGATTGCAACCAAAAGTATCGAGGACCATCAGCGGACATCTTAACGTTTATCCACTTTCACGGAATGGCCCGATTCCTTATTACTTTCCAATTCACCCTCCCTGTGTTTAGGAGAACGGAATCATCAGAGAGAATCCTAAAACACCGAAAACCGTCAGGCATGAGTTTCTGGTAAATATCCTCGCGCGGTAGTCCTGAAGAAAAGGTAATATTCTAATATGCTTGGTAGTGCTTCCTGGGACTCGTTGGAGAGGGAGTCACGGTTCGGTTCAGGTTTTGTCCGAAAAACTTGTATGTTCCAGAAAAACCGGTAGCGTTGCTACCTATTAGGTTGGTGATGACTCATAGATAACCCCACCTGAGGTTCTAAACGTAGTCCTCAAGTTTCAGTTAACCATATAGCCCAAATGGACTTGAACATCGACGAATACACTCATTTGCCAATCAACTTGGTTTTCAAAGGAGACTCAAGTGAATCTCTCGTTTAAGATGTTCTTCAACTGATTAGTTTTCTTTATGAAAACTTAAATATCGTTCTTAATAAAACAAGATGCAGCACCCTCAGAGACTATCGTAAACGAGAGATCCAGCTGGCGTTCAGTTGAGTCTCTTCCGTTAACACCAATTTGACTGACAGATTGGTGTAATATTTCAGAAGTACCCACATTCATAAGCACTTGCTTGCATGCCCACATGTTCCACAACGTCTACTCAATGGGCTGCGACATTTCTGTAGCCAAAAATGTCACCGTGGAAGCCTCACTGTTGCGACCACCTTCACACTGATTCAGCGACACAAAAACGCGTCCAGGCCAGCGGGATTAGCACGGGTATTCATTAATGCGAACTCATTTGAGGAGTTCAAGGTAAAGTTTTAAATATGAGATGAAATTTGTGTAATTGATGACTCTCAACTTGGAAGCAACCCCTTAAATGAAAGTCTGTCATGATGTGACTGGGACATTTCGTTCTTTTTTTGAAGGTACGTTATTCTGCGAGATAATCACTCTTGGAGCTGCACTGCAGCTCTCTTACCATCGGGGAAACCTGAGTTGTATTCAAATGTCTTTTTGATGTGAAAAGATCACAAACTTTTTGATGAATTGTGCGTTGAGACCTCCATCATCCTGAAGGCATAAATTGTGTATACCTCAGGGCCGTACCAGGAGCAGCGGCTTCAGCCATGAACAGTACACGGTTGCAGTACTCTTTCGTCTTACGTCAATGAAACCTACTCTTTGCTTCTTGTTTTGGGCGAACACGAACATGTACTATAAAGCTAAGGATGAAGGCTAACAAACTCATTAGGGTTGCCTATGTACCCCATTAGTGCACTGTTGATGATGACCATGATACAAATCACTAACAAAGGCACTAATAAAAGTTTTTAGTATGGTTGACAGTAGTGGGTTGCAACACGTATAAAAATAAATACAATGCGAAATGCGAGCAAGTCAAAAAAGGAAGTTATCCTCTGTGAGAGTTCATCGGTGAAAGTCCGGACGGCGGGAACGTGTGTTTCTCCGCAGTGCGACTGCTACACGTGTTCTTGGGTTTGTGGAGGGAGATTGACTTCCTGTTCCCTGCGCGCGCGCGTGTCTGTGTGTTGATGTGATCGGTTGTAGATTCATTCGCGTGTACGTGGGCGTGTCAGCACATGAGTAGTTGCTATGTTCAATAGACGGTGCAGACAATCGATGTCCGATGAATCAGCTTAATGTGACGTGTATGAAAAAAACACAAGCCTCGTGATCCAGTGAACGAATGTGAGCTGAACACTCAAGTATGTGGGTGACGGGGTGGCTACAACCCCACCCAAGGGTGAGGAACAAACAAGGGAACGGCATAAAAGATCTCGTCTTGTAAGTGAAGCTAAGTTATACTGAAAAACCGAGAAGCACAACTGTTTCATACTTATTGAGAACCATCAGCCGTATGCATCTCACGAAACTCCAGTGAGTGAGTCGCACAACTTCAAGCCAGTGATGGAACGCTTAGTCGTTCGGCCATGAAAGGCTGACCAGGAGGAAAAAAGCCTTCTTCACTTAGAATGGAATATGTTCACAAAGGAAACTACTCACAAGGTCGCTGAAAGCCGGTCGACAGCCCACGACCGGTTTCGCCCTTCTTGGGTCTCATCAGGTCTTTTCCGTTGTCCATCACCTGGTATCCCCACAATAAATGTTGTTTTGAGGTCTTTACTGCGTTTCAGTCTCCTTACGGGTTGTACCTGTAAGGGTGGAGTCGTTCGGCCATGAAAGGCTGACCAGGAGGAAAAAAGCCTTCTTCACTTAGAATGGAATATGTTCACAAAGGAAACTACTCACAAGGTCGCTGAAAGCCGGTCGACAAGCCCACGACGGTTTCGCCCTTCTTGGGTCTCATCAGGTCTTTTCCGTTGTCCATCACCTGGTATCCCCACAATAAATGTTGTTTTGAGGTCTTTACTGCGTTTCAGTCTCCTTACGGGTTGTACCTGTAAGGGTGGAATAAACTAACAGTTGCAGTTAAAATTGGTCCCAACTGACCACTCAGGAGTGACAATTATGAGCGAGTAGAAGGGCTTTCGGAGGGAGAGGAAGAGGACTGGTTACGACTGACTAGACAAGGTGTACGATGCGGAATGATTCGGGAATCCTTACCCTCCTTCCCGTGCCAGTCCCAGTTATACCTACATATTCATACACGTTCCAGTGGAAAATAAATTTGAACATTTTTTTCTGGTTCTGTTCCATTTATGGATACTGGAGCAAAACATTCAAGTCGGGCTTTCTGTCACGACTTCGTGGACGGGTGTCCATGAAATGATGGTTGATCTCACACCGTTTTGATGTGGTACAGTTGGTTTGGTGGACGTGGTGTCGACAGTGCATCTGAACGTCCCTGTAATTCACTCAAATCATGTCTCCAATGGGATGTATCCCTTCAATTCTTTGAATACCGCCACAATGTTGAAAAGAAAATCCATCTGAAAAGTTCACAATCCTAAAATCCACGATACCTTCTTGTGCGAACTGTGTGGTCGATCCAATTGGGGCGCGCACACCTGCTCATAGCAGCTTGATCATACCTCATAGGCTATGCCTGATTCTTACCGGGAGCGATAACCGAATATTAAATCATACTTAACCTGCTCATGCCTCTTCCCGCCATTTGCTAACTCCGTCCACGTACTTTTGATCTCCACCTGTTTTACTCAACTCTACCTGCTATTCACCTTGACGAAAGGATACCCCTGCTTACTCTGGTATGTTAACATGCGTGAGTAGAACACCTGACGTAGCCTAGGGAGTCCAATTGATTGATCGAGAGAAAGGAGCATGTGTGAACGTGTGTGTGTGCATACGCAGATAACCTACTTACCTTCGTGCCCCGTTTGCTGGACCGGCCGGTTCCACCAATCAGAATCACGAGAGTGACGTCGGAACCGACGACCGCAACCCACACCACAGAGCCAATATTCTGCTCACCGTTGTCCATTGTGTGAATCTTGACACTACACTTTGCATGGTCAGTGACAGACTCGTGCACATAGAGTGACGTCGGAACCGACGACCGCAGCCCACACCACAGAGCCAATATTCCGCTCCCCGTTGTCCGTTGTGTGAATCTTGACACTACACTGTGCATGGTCAGTGACAGACTCGTGCACATGTTGACGCCATGAACGTAAACAATTGAGGTTTGTTGTATAACGCTGCTTTCTTTTGTGTAAATAGTACCGTAGACGGTCGAACACAACTCTTCCTTTTGATATTCGGGATCGTCGAACCTACGCGTGACTCAAAGTCCTTCGTCGTTTACTAGCGCAGTGATCTTTTACCTGGCAGATACGGGTCATGTGATTAATTCTAACACCGCCTTCTGAGCACTGCATCAATAACCTATCTGCCCATCGAGATCCGGTCAATATCCATATCTGGGCAGAGCTGGTGCAATCTTGCTTCGATCACAACTTGAGTCTGTGTGCTCATTCGGTCTGACATGGTCTACTCACGTGATCGCTGGCCAACCAGGTCAATCGATCGTGGAGTAAACAGAATCTACTTCATTCTTGTTTTACTTGGTTTTTACTCTTGTGCAGTTTCATAGCGGACTGTCATTCTTCAAAGGTCTAGTTGCTACTTTTTACCAAGCTGTCACGCATAGAATACCATGTATACCTCTACCACCCCCTTCAAGAGAACTCGTTCGAAAAGTCCCAAAACGACCGGGCTGTTTCCTTGGGTAAAGGGGACAAATGTGAAACGTTTTGCTTGCTTTGTACACCAGGACAGTATTACCTAAGAAGATACTACTTAAGATGAATATGCTACTTAAGATGCTATGGGGGGTTTTCTGAAAAATCGCCCTTCAGCTATTGAAAGCTGTTGTGTACTTGTGACCGGAACTTCGCAAAGGACACGATAAACCCGGGCAATAGCTGTCACACGCACTAGCAACTGGATAACTACAAATAGTTTCTTGGTAAAAGCGAACGGTAATTGAAAACAAGATTTTCATCAATGATATGTATGGTTTTTTAAGAACTTGTAATTCATGCTTCGTTCCGAGTTCATTAGCTCGAAACTGTACAAACAAACAGGGTTGTGCAAACGTATTCCATCGCCTGGGAAAGTAAAGTTGAACAGCACCAGCTGATCCGCGGGAATAGCTTATCAGTTGTGTCCAACGTAACTCTTCATTCTGATATGCAATGCTAGTCTATGACGCAGGGATTTCAGTTGTACTGTCTCCTAAACCAGATGTTCATCCCTTCTCTAGGATTTTTTTATTCTCCAACTGGATGGAGGAGAGGAAGCAAACCCGTGCGTGCTATTTAAACGGTCCCTTAGCTCGGAGAAGTACTGTGCCGGTAAGCGTCGCGTACGTTCGGCCGGTGTTTTGAAAATGGCCGGAATATTCATTCTTCCTGAAGAGGCAAGCGGTAACTCAGAGAACATTCACCCCAGGAAGTCTTAACATTTCAAAAGACTGAATTCCACTTGAATACAGGCGTTGATTTTCGTATTACCAAACACCTGTGGCAGAGACCCGGTGAGAATGGCTTCGTAAAACGCAAATAGATTACTGAATTATAATCATACTGAAGCTGAAAATGGGGAAGTTGCGTGAACACGTTTTCAGTGATCCATCTTCTGGTCGGTACAAAATACATAAAGAATCAAACATGAAAAACAGCCAATTACGGCAAGGAATACATGTGAGTAGGAAAATATGCGGGGTAAGGCTCCTCCAACCTCACTGGTTTCTTGACAATCTACAAGAAGAATGGTCTACACGGCGAGTGAACCCTCCATCTGAGGAGCTGTCAGCCAAGAGACAATGACAAATCAGCACGTGGTATGTATTCTGAGCGGCGCTGTCCTGTCTAAGTTCGAGCTAATCACACTGCTGATCAGTCGCTCGTTGCCGAATGGTTAAATCTTCAAACTACTACTCGGGAGGTCGTAGGTTCGAGTGCTGTGAGACGACCATTCTTTAGAAGGATGAAAATGCTGTACAGTGTTTTTGGACGAAATATTCGTCAGAATAAACGTGAAACATCTTGATACTACTAAATAACAGTTACTTGTCTAAGTAATGTGGAAAAATGGCTTAGTGTATGCCATTGTCAAACGAGAGGTGAATAGTTCGGGCCAGTTCGGTTACAGGGATCTGTACACAAAGTTCGGGTCTAAAGGGCTGGGTGGCAATAACCTCGGTAATTGTACTATTGGGCGTGTTCTTCGGCACACGCTACACGATTCGGATGAGCAGCATATCCCGTGGATTAGAATCAAACTCTGGGAGTTGCTTTGCCTCTCAGGATAAGCCACTTTGGGAGGTTTTCTCTACTCCCCTCAGGCAGTGTTTTCCACCAGACTTCGCGGGTAAAGTGTAATTTTAAAATGAACTATCAGTTTAATTAAATGAGGCACAGTGACGAGAGACCTAAACCTATATGTGTTTTGCGAAACGCTGAGCCTACTTCGACCGAAAGTGCCGAAATATACCAGAGTAGCGGATGAGAGGGCCTTATCATGACACCCATGAGTTTACACAAGTGCGGAGCACATCAGCGTGAGTATGGGCTGTGAGTTGATGACAGACACCAGGCAATGGATTACAACAGCTTTATTTTATGACGTAATTCAGAGTTGACCAACCAGACAGCTGATAAAAAATCAATAAGTCACGCCCACTGGCATTTGAACGAACATCACTGCCACGTCAGCTGGAGTGTCGGAAAGCATGATTGAATAGTGCAACTCAGATTACATCACAATGAACGTTCGTCTCCGGTCTACGGATGATCAACTGTACAGACCACCTCCGGGGTATGCTCTGAGACGGCAACCGTCCAGACGTCCGAAAAGTGCGGACACCAAGCCACCTGCCAAATCAGGTGACGCAGAGACTATTGATATGGAAGCGTTATGCAAAGCGATTAGTTCCACAAAACTGCGGAACTTGCGAATGAAACAAAATGTTATGGAAGCTTTCATGCGCAAATTACTGCAATCGATGAAGGAACTTAAAGAAACTGAATTGAAGCGTGGCAAATCAGCCGCACTGGACACGCAGCGACGAGTTAAGCTCACACGAATGTTGCAAATTCTGATGTTACAAAGGCGAAATTTACAACTACAAACAGATACCATGCAAAAAGGAATTCTGTTAATGAGTAAAAAATATGCGAATTTGCGGCACAATGCTGATGCATTAGTCTACGAAAATACGGCATTACGAAAGGAATACTGCCAGATAAAAAGTGATCTGGAGTTTAAAAACATCCAGATTGAAAGTTTGTTACAAAATAAAGCTTGCTTACAAAAACAAGTTGAGAACAATACTTGTTTACGTATCCAAACCGAGAATGCTCAGTTCGAACTGAAGCGTTTGAGAGTAGAGAACGAGAATCTCAAGGAAGCGCTGCAACAAGTCGAAGCACTACTTCGGACGAAGGTACAGGAACGTGAGGAACTAGAGTTACGAAATGCCCAACTTAGGCAGGGGCTGGACGGCTAGTATGTAATATCCGTGTGCGGAGTGAACGGCTAACAAGTGAGAATCAAACGTTACGACAAGAGTTGGCACAAATTCAAGCTGGACGAACAGATGCTCATTTGATGACAGCCGAAGCCGAGCGAATCCGTGAAAAACTGACGCAACTTCAGCGGGAATATCTGCGCCTCCAACGTCTGTACACAATGGAGGCAGAAACTCGTAAAATGCTACACAATCAGCTTCAAGAAGTTCGTGGGAACCTGCGTGTTCTGTGTCGCTGTAGGCCGGCTAATTCGGGAGAGAAATGTCAGATCCAGTTTACTTCGATGGATCGAATCACCGTGCCTTGCATAACTCGTAACAATAGCATGGCATTCCAGAGGCAGCCAAATGCTGATCATACCATCTCCAACACGGCCATTGAGGAAGTTTTCACATTCAATCGAGTATTTCGACCTGGTGCGACACAACTGGAAGTATTTGAAGAAATAAGACCACTCATTGCCTCGTGTGTTGATGGATATAACGTTTGTATCATGGCCTACGGACCAACAGGGTCTGGAAAGACCTACACAATGCAAGGTACACAAAAAGATCCTGGAGTTGGAATGAGGGCTGTCACAGAGCTGTTTGAATTATGTCAGCCACTTCACAGTGTATGGGAAGTGCAAATGAGTATAGCCATGTTGGAAATTCACAATGAGGTAGTGTATGACCTGCTTGGAGAGCAAATCAGGCCGGTGAAGATCTCTGACGATGGTACTGATGTCCGCCTTATTGAAGCTGAGGAGAAAATTGCAAACACCGAGGAGGAGATGTTATTCTGGATTGCCAAAGGGCACAAAAGACGTAAGGTCACTGCGACCAAACTGAATGTGGAGTCTTCTAGATCCCATCACATCATTCGTATACAGCTCGTGTTCAGTAATTTGCTTGATAAGACAAGACGGAATTCCTCTCTGATCCTATGTGATTTGGCTGGATCAGAGAGTGCCGAACGAATCGAAGCTAGTGGAGAAATCCACATCGAGACCGGCTACATTAACAAGTCGTTGGTCACCCTTGCTCGAGTGTTCGAAGTACTGAGACGTCGCAACCAAATTTGCCAACCCGGGGCACCGAACACTCCCATTCCAGCACCGTACCGGGATTCGAAACTAACGCACCTACTAAAGCCTTGTCTGGGTGGGCAGGCCAAATGTGTCCTGATTATCACTGTTTCCGGAGAAGCTCCATCACTGGATCGAAGCATGAAAGCACTGGAATTCGGGCAACAAGCAATGCAAATCTCACTGGGAGCTGCCAGACCGAATGAACGCATTTTGACCAGTTGGTACGGCAAGAAAAGAGTGAGAAGTACGGACCCAACCAATAGCAGTAACAACAACAGTTGACAGACCGTTGTTGTAATTAGGGAGAAATCAACCGTGTGTGTATGAACCCGTATAGCTAAGGTAGGCGAATATCACCTATAATCTGACCGTCTTTTTTGTCGCGTACAACTATGAGCCGCACAAACCCGGAATGTCAACGTTACGACGACTTTTTCCTTTGATTCAGGTGCTTTCTAACATCGTGCGATCCACTGGACAGGGGAAGATTTGTTAATGCTCTAACGGAACCCGAAAACTAGTCATACGAACGAGAAAACGGGGAGCACTAACAAAATCAGCTTGTTGAGTAAAATTATTACAACAGGAATATATGCGAAAAAGAGACTTATCGCATCGCGGATACAGGTTGATAAATCCTGTTGTGAGTCCGGATGCAGGTTTCGTGTCTTCTTCGCTGTTGTAACAGCCACACGTAGTCCTGGATATCCGTGAGTGAAACGCCGTAAAAATCCTGAGCGGCTCTGCTCCGAGTTGGGCGACGCGCGTAGCTCTGTTGAGGTGTTTAGTGCTGCTGTGCTGTTATCCTATGTGTAGGAACGTTTGCATATGTGTGGATGTCAGCACATGACTCATCGAACGGTAGACAGTCGATGTCAGATGAGTCACCCTTGTGTGTCGTGATTTGTACGTGTAGGGGAAGAAAGCGAGTCTTGGGATCAAGGGCCTGACTGTGAGCTGTATAGTCAAGTGAGTCACGGTTCTGTGGCGTGATTTGTGAGTGTAAAAAAAGATAGATCTCGTGATCTAGCGAGTGTTGGTGACCTGTACAGTCATGTATGTGAAGAAAGAGTGGCTAGAAATTTTGTCGGTCAAGTGATCTTTTCTTGGAGTTCGTTCGTATAGTTCATAGCTTGTTTGCATAAAGTAGCCATCCGGGTGGAAGTATTCCAAGCGTAATTGGCTGTTGGATCTCCCATTCCGGCTCACGAATGGTCTTCACACTGAGTAATAGTGTACTCATGACCAATAGTATCCGAGTTTTTGTTCAATTGTCCAATACTCTATGAGATCGTGTTAAACTAGGCCATGCCAAGTGATTGGGCACTCAGAAATCAGGCAGGAATCAGTAGTACATCGGAAACAACCTGGCTTGAAGCCGTTTCTTCCGGGTGGATTATAACCAATATATTTGTGCCCAATCAATGGCTGCTTCATCTGTGCCGGTCGTAGCTCCCCATCCCGGTGTGTATGGCCTCCAAATTGCCCAGTTTCAACTTGATTACGAATCAGATATTGCCCCAAGTTACCCGTTAGAACGGTGGGAGGAATCTATGAGGTGTGTACTGAGCAGATCTTGATACTGGGCCAAAGTCTAGAACACTCATCCCCAGTGATCCTGAGTGTGGGAACGCTTTCAGCGCTTCTAATTGGTCAGGCCCTCTCAGCAACCTTGAGCAGTCGGGTCGATCTAGTTGATCGGGCTGTCAGTCTACCGTTGTGTTTCCGCAATGCCCACAACACAACAGATGGAAGAAATCTCCAATTCTTTGACCGTCGATTTCTATTTGCTGGTGTCGGATGACGTCAAAGAATTCGCAACGGGGTATTTGGTTGCGTAACTAATAATTCAGTCGCAAAAAGTATCCAGCAACATCAGCTGCGATGGCTAAGCCATGCCGATACGCTGGGTTTTTCCCCGTGTCTCCTTCATATTGGCACAAGCTGGACAACAGATAACTTGACAGAAGAGTATGACAGGGGTGACGAAGACTTAAGGTGTCGTTAGTGCGGTCCGTCTTCCAGTATGCGACCCCACCCTCTTCGCTTGGTTGGAGACAGTGTAAGTAATGGCGGTTGATCAACATCAGTGGTGCCCGATTGAGTTTCGAGGGTGTAGGCAATTTAGAATGTTTGCGGTAGGCCAGCACACGGTCCCCCTCCCTCGCCCACGCTTTTCCCACCTTTTCACTTTAAGGCTTTCAGGTTGCAAAGCAGTGAAGCATCAGTGGCAACACTGATGTTAATGTCTCTGATGATGATCGTGTATTGTCTGGTTCGTTATCTCTCTTCGACAAAAACACTCGTTTGCAAATGAATTTGATTGTAATGGGAGAATCAGCAGAATCCCACCTGAATCTCCAACTGCAGTTTTTTCAGCAACCTTTCGAGTAGCATTATTTCAAAGAAATATACTGAAAAACACTGTACCGACTGAACAAAGAGACGGTCCGTGTCAGGTCAGGAGTACCATAAACGACAGATTCATCTAGAATTTAAGCGAATCTCTCGCACGAGTTGGGTTCAAGTAGAACATGAAGTTAGCTGAAGGGAAACTCGGGAACGGCACCTACCTGATGAGCTTCAGATAGGACGAAACTGCTCACGGGTTATCGAAGCGTTTTCAGTAGTGGACCTTGGAGACAGAAAACGTCTTGTCTTGTCTGTTCACCAACAGGTTCACGAGGTGAAGCAAAACCTGACATGAACCGGAAAAATCCTGGATGAATGTGGGTGTTTTGACACCTACGAACATCGCCATGTAGGTCCACCGAAAAGACAATATCGATAACACTGGATCTGGAGTTGTCACCTCAGATCATTCTAGTGGTGCGTTGGATTTCGGAGGCACCAGGCTTAAAAGCTGGTCACCTGGAGCATCACTAACCTCGTCGGCCGCAGGAAATGTTTGTAAATCGGGCCTGTTTGCGTTAAATCATGCCTATCCGGTGTGCGTTGACACCGTCAACTCTGGTCCGACTCGGTCACGTGCATCGGTCGGGGTAATTTCTGACTGCCAGTCCGGTGAGCCCGGAGTTTGTCGTTGCGGCCCATCCAGAAAATCGGTGACCGGCCATTGCCAGCCTGAATGCGATTTGACCGGGTAGGCGACCTATACGACGCACCAACAGCTAGAAACGGACGCGAATGAGCAAGCCCATTAACTCACTCCCACAGCAAGCGCACTGACACTTGCCGAGTAGTCCGAAGCTTTTTCTGGTGTAGCGGACGCATTGAGTGCACGATGAACATAGGACGTTTTTGCGGCTGCACTTTTCAAGACTTCTGATCAGACTGCGATATGGTAGGTCGGTGTCCGCGAAAAGCAGTCCACACGGGCTGGGATTCAACTCCATTTTAAGTGACGGATACCACGTGCTAGGCTGGGACAGAATCCCATTCAAGCTGACTTGACAGTTTTCAGCTTCCCACCAAGACGGCAGCACAGCGAAGCTCACTTTCAGGTTTTGGGGCAGCGAACCCGAACCGCTGTGTAGCAGATGCACTCATAAAACTGAAGCATAATTCCACTGGTTCGCCCCTAGTTCACCCTTACTGGAACGAACCACACTGGATCCTCTCCTTGTCCATCTTGTCAACGACTGCCGCAGATATTTGTAAAAATAAGTGCCGAAGTCCAACATTGACTTTGGTTGCCAAAGTCAAGTTAGTTGTGGCTTTCCCATGAAGGCTCATTGCAAACCCTTCGCACAATCACTCTCCAAGCGGGTCGGTACGGAATGGTCGTTAATATGCATGCATTTTGTTGGAACAAACAGCTGGAGCCAGAGGGTCTGAAAAAACTTTTTTCTCAATCGCAAAATAGTTTCGACCTCTCCTGATCAAAGATGAAATAGATTACATTTCAATAAATACACTATGAGGAATCAACCTGGTTTTCACGGGAGACTCAAGTGAATCTCTCGTTTGTGATGCTCTTCAACTAAATGTGCTGCACACAGGCCGCCTCATGCTTCATTTGGTACGATGTTCGAGGTATCGCAGTATAATTTTCATAAGGAAACTGCTCACAAGGTTAAATAGTTTTCAGAAACTTTGCTCAGAACTCTTCAACCCTGTGAATATCGTACCAAATTGATTTGCAAATGAGTTTATTTAACGAAATCAGTCCCATTTGGGTTCAAGTAGAACATAAGATTGGCGGAAACTCGGGACTGCGCCTGGTAAGCCCCAAGAAGAGCAAAAACAGTCGTGGGCTGTCGAAGTTTTGAGCAACCTTGTGCGTAAGTTCCGTTATGGAAACATTACATTACTTATCGACCTTGGGACTTCCCCCTCTCCACTTAACTATGCTTGACCTCTGCCAACCGGCACTAACGTTTGTGGATAGTTTATATAGACCGCAAACTTGCTCGCTTCACTCTCCGTGAAATTCGGTCTTCTGCTGCCGGTGGTTGACATGCGTAATACCTTTGGCTTGCGAACTACGGCCCGGGTTATCTCAAACCTGTTCACCTTCCAATGTGTAAGTCTGGACCTACACCGAAGTCTTAATGCGTCTAGGATGTGCTGGAGGGTGCGGTTGAATAGACAGAGTTCGACCGTTCATCCTCTCCACTGGTTAACCCCGTCTACACTTATCGATCAGCAAATCAAATACGACGCTCAGTGAGTTCCATCCCACTGGTCCACACAATATCTCCCATAAGATGATGGATGGGTAACAACTTAGTCATCACGGGGTGGGTATCCCTGTTAGGCTTTTTTTATTCTCCCTGGAATGTCACTTCGATGAGGAAAGCGAACAAAAGCCGATATCTCAAGACGATGGCTCTCACAGCGTTGGTTCAAGAAGAAGTTGGCTACTGAGATCACAAAATCTAGCAATCTAGGCATATGGATTTCAGGATAAACTTCTCAGGTTGAGTATTCGGTCCAGGAGTAAGAAATTACTTTACGTAGGGCACGATAAGAAAAAGTAAAATGCAGTTCGTCAACTATGACTTCCATTCGGTTTTCGGTAAGAGTGCAAATCAGTCTTGACTTTACCCGCCTTCTTTCCACATATCGGTAAGATCATGTTCTACCGTGTATAACTTAAATTTTAAAAAAAATAATCGCTCAGCTACAACATCCTTTCGGTGTCTGGCTGACATGCCAACGGAAGGAGTCACGAGGGCCGGGATACTGTCAGCTTGCCCAAGCCTAGACAGGAGAAGTCGAGACGCAGAAATCAAGTCCGAACCACGGACCTTCCGTTCTGTAAATTCGCACTCCCACCCACCACGTATGACTCAATGCTGGCACGACTAAAAAGTTGAGCCTTAAGCTGTTTCTATGTAAATTACTCGTCCACTTTCTGCTTTGTTCCAGGGGACCTTTCAACTGACCAAGATTTGGCTCGTGTGTCCGACACGAGCAATCCCTTGAATTTACTTTGAGCTGTACGATGGTTGGTGAATCTTTGCCATCAAGTATACACATACACGCACGTTTCCCACCGAAATTTGGTCCAGTGCCGGGGCTTGAGATAACCCAGTGGTTAAGGCACCAGTTTACGCACCTGAAGCCATCTGGTTCGCACCCAACCTCAGCACCTCGACTGCTCCTGTTTGGGCACAGGCAAACTTGTAGTGCCGCAGCCCTCGTCCTTCCTTAGGGTGGTACGACAGCTAGTCACCGAAAGGGTGCTACAGCCGAACGGATTTTTTCCACTATCGGGGTCGCTTGTCATTGCATTTGACTTTAAAGGCTCCATGCGAATAATTTCCTCTAGGGCCATTAATTCGCGCGTGGATTAGGAGTTTAACATCAAATGCCAGTGCATCGGAACGTCGAGTCCGCTTTGAGATGCCAAAAATACCGGTTGCAGTTAACCGTCAGATCTCTGGTGGCGCGTCGAAGCCCAAGAACATCCGGAACGTTGGGACAAATGGAACCTACCGATTGCACCACACACAGAGATGTATACATTATCTAAGAGTCAAGGGAATCGAACCGATGGCCGAAGCCACGTGACCGGTCAGCCCAACTGATGATAATTCCGTATGATTGAGCCTTTCAGAAAACGGTTACGTGTTTCAGGCGCTAAGTCTGTTTCAAGAACGACTTGACTGATTGCGTCCTCCATCGTTAAGGTTGAAAACATCCCTGGCAGTTGCTTCTCGGAAGCATAACTATACTACGTCTGCGTACGCCATTGGGTGACACTACAAATGATGACTGAGAGGAGCGCGTCTTAGTCGGTGATCGCAAAGAACACCCGAAAAGTTTGCTTTTTAAACCCGCGCGGGTTGTGCCGACGAAACGCAAGTGCAGAACGCATTTGTCTGCAAATGCACACCAACCCATGTAATCTGCATGATACTTCTCAACTCGACTGCTCGAAGCGCAGTTTGTTTTGAGCTGGTGAACAATCAAGCAAACGCTCGTGTAAGCTTGGAAGAACGAGGACGTGAAAAATGACGGCTCAATCTGCTGAGACCCGTCGAGTTGTCTTCTAGGTACGAATTGTTACTATGAGTGCTTCGATAGAAAAAAAAACCCAAAGTGATCCAGCAAAACGAAGCATTTATCGATGTGCTACTCTACAAAAGGTTCAGGCAATGAAGAGGCAGGTGAAAGGAAGGTACAAAGAAAGCCCACAGGAACCCATGGATTCCATGGCAACGATGCCTCAGAAACGAAAAACAAAACAAAGAACAAACAATGAAAAATAACAGCTTGACGCTGTTGCCCCGATTTTTTCCACTATCGGGGTCGCTTGTCATTGCATTTGACTTTAAAGGCTCCATGCGAATAATTTCCTCTAGGGCCATTAATTCGCGCGTGGATTAGGAGTTTAACATCAAATGCCAGTGCATCGGAACGTCGAGTCCGCTTTGAGATGCCAAAAATACCGGTTGCAGTTAACCGTCAGATCTCTGGTGGCGCGTCGAAGCCCAAGAACATCCGGAACGTTGGGACAAATGGAACCTACCGATTGCACCACACACAGAGATGTATACATTATCTAAGAGTCAAGGGAATCGAACCGATGGCCGAAGCCACGTGACCGGTCAGCCCAACTGATGATAATTCCGTATGATTGAGCCTTTCAGAAAACGGTTACGTGTTTCAGGCGCTAAGTCTGTTTCAAGAACGACTTGACTGATTGCGTCCTCCATCGTTAAGGTTGAAAACATCCCTGGCAGTTGCTTCTCGGAAGCATAACTATACTACGTCTGCGTACGCCATTGGGTGACACTACAAATGATGACTGAGAGGAGCGCGTCTTAGTCGGTGATCGCAAAGAACACCCGAAAAGTTTGCTTTTTAAACCCACGCGGGTTGTGCCGACGAAACGCAAGTGCAGAACGCATTTGTCTGCAAATGCACACCAACCCATGTAATCTGCATGATACTTCTCAACTCGACTGCTCGAAGCGCAGTTTGTTTTGAGCTGGTGAACAATCAAGCAAACGCTCGTGTAAGCTTGGAAGAACGAGGACGTGAAAAATGACGGCTCAATCTGCTGAGACCCGTCGAGTTGTCTTCTAGGTACGAATTGTTACTATGAGTGCTTCGATAGAAAAAAAAACCCAAAGTGATCCAGCAAAACGAAGCATTTATCGATGTGCTACTCTACAAAAGGTTCAGGCAATGAAGAGGCAGGTGAAAGGAAGGTACAAAGAAAGCCCACAGGAACCCATGGATTCCATGGCAACGATGCCTCAGAAACGAAAAACAAAACAAAGAACAAACAATGAAAAATAACAGCTTGACGCTGTTGCCCCCAGTTCCGAGGATGTGCAGGGTCTATGGGAGGACAGGGGAAGAGGAAATAATCAAAATTCAACAAAATGTGGTGGAGAAATCAACGCTGCAGAGAACGAAACGAGGGAACCGTGACTAGCCAATCGGATGAGCAAACAAACTGAGAAAACCTGCTTCAACACTAACCAAGGTCAGAGAAGGGGTAGATCGAAATCGGTAAAATAACTGTAAAAACAATAAGCGAGAAAGTGCTTTGTTTAGGCACTGTTGGGAGGAATGGTGGTCACGTCAGAAAATTTGGCGACGGGAGAGGACAGAGCAGAATGTGACATGTCAAAATATTTACAGACAGCGCAGTTACTCAAAATCCTAAGGCCAACAAACACCATAGAATCAAACTATTGAAGTGGACGATAGGAGAACATGTGACAAGCATAGCGATGAAATAAGTTTCTGAGACATACGGGGATTGAGAGCGATGGCGAGAACGGTCGTAGTGGACAAATCATAGCCTTATGGTTGAAAAGTGTGAAGCACAAAACGACCGCTATCTCTATCGGCTGTGCGAGTGTGTGCGAATTATCTGCTACGAGTCAGGAGTATCGATCCACGAGGAAGCAGCAACCGACTACTAGGTGAATGGCGTAATGCATCAGGCTTAAGTATGCATGCTCGGTTGGAGTTGCTGTAACCCGGCGGAGGTTAGGAAATCACACCGCCATTCCCCTCCAAACTAGGTGGGACGCGCGGCAGATCCAACTTGGGCAAGGGAGGGGTTGGAGGAGGAGTTTGGTAATGCTTTGAGATCACGAATCTGCTTGATGAGATACTCTTTTTCGTGGTTGAACTGACCATCATCGGTCCGCTCAGTTTGGAATTTCGACAGGAAAGAAATCAATTTCTCCTGATTCCGGAAGAGGATCATGTGCACTGATTGAGGTTTGTTCGGGTTGGCAACAAAAACCTGGGCGAGGGGTGGGGAGAAAAATTGGAGGTAAAAATAGTACGGGCTTAGAAGTGTCTGAAAGAAGTTTCACAAATGGCGAAATGCGCGTGCTGCTAGTGTTTTCGGAGACTGAGACATCATCTGACAGCACCACCAACAAGTAAAAAGCAGTCACAATGGATCGCTTTAAAACAAATTGTGTAGTGCATTCAAGGACACATTCTTGCGGTGAATCCCGACTACGGCTTATAAACGAGGTGCCAACCACATTTACTCTAATATTAGACCATGTAGTGCGCATGCCCAATAAACGTCAGCCGAAGAGAGTGTTGTTTTCCGCGCCCAATTCAGAGTGGTGTAAACAAAGAGGTAGAAAAGTACGAAAGAGATAAGGAAAAATCTGGGTGCTGTTGGTGGGATGGGGACCACGTGGCTCCCAGTGTCACGTCAGCCGAAGTGTTGTTTTCCGCGCCCAATTCAGAGTGGTGTAAACAAAGAGGTAGAAAAGTACGAAAGAGATAAGGAAAAGTCTGGGTGCTGTTGGTGGGATGGGGACCACGTGGCTCCCAGTGTCTGGTTGGAGACGCTGCAAGATATGGCTACTAATCGATGTCAGTGGTGGTCTTGTTGTCAGTTCCTATCCAAACTGCCTGGATGAGTGAGAGTCTGGGCACCTCGGAATGAATGTGATAGGCTAGCGCCAAGCCCAGTACCCATCCAATTTAGTCTTTTCTCCACAATGAGGTTTTCAACTAAATTCTGGTTGCACGGCAGCAAAACACCAGAACTGTCGATGATATTCATTCAATGTAATGTAGCTGGTAGTTGTATAAGTAATGCCCTGAACCAAGAAATGGAGAGGACATGCGGATCACTTCTTCTGGAACAAGTGATACCTAAAGCACCTACAGTTTCCAGAGTCATATTTCACATCCTCGTGTTGCATTCAATCTTGTTCGCCTTCCTGGTCATCTTCAGTAACATTTAAATCTCAGCTGCACATTTCTGGTCATAAGGAATGCGGCTGCCTGACGAACGTGAACGATTTGTGTGAATTTCACAACAGCTTGAAACTGTTTTCTTCTTGACAGAAGCGGTTGACATGATGATAAGTTAAATCAGTCGACTAATCCCATCCGAGACACCCATCACTTCGTTACACCTGGGCGTGAGTATGGCTGAGAAAAGACAATCTTCAAATCGAGCCCAAAAAATTTCTTATGAAGTTCATAAAAACTTTGTATAACAGTCAGCATAGCGTATGAGGACGATGAAACAATGTTCGAATTCAGCTGTCTAGGAAGTGAGCATGTGGAAAACTAAACCTTGGTAAGACAGGTTTTTTTCAATCCAATGAGCACAATAAAGTGCTGTAGCTAAGTAACACCCCTAAAAAGTTAGTATCTGCTCAAGGTCTTTGCGATACCCTACCGCACAGCACCTTCGGATGACGCGAGCGCAGGCGCTCCGCGGGTGCTGTAAAAATTTGAACTACTGAATACAACGTGAGTAAGCGGAAAACACGCGCCGAAACTGCGTCAACGCCATCTACTGCTACAGGATATTTCCCGTGGGCAACACAAAGGATCCATTTAATTAATTTGATTGCTATGCAAATTTGACGGAGCGCGGTCCTCCCTAATTTCAGTGAAGGATAGTATTGATTGGCAGCTGCTGAGGTCGTTGTTGGTTTGTTCGCTGAACTTGACAGCTGCAACAGTTTCGTTGTTTCATGAGTAAATTGCCAAGCTCAGCGAACAGATCAATAGCCATCTGACCGGCATACGAGATGCTAATATCCCCCCACACTGCCAACATGACTGACTCCCAGCTGGAGTTATTCAAAAGCACCCATTGGCTAGAGTTCATATCGTTGTAGTCAATCGTAACGCGTAACTCCGACACCAAACAATACGAGCAAAGACGCACGGTGCGGAAGACAAACAAACCACCGATTAAGGTTAGTCATCAGCATTTATGTCTACTAGTGCCATTCAAATGGACAGCTGGGAGTTCGTTCCAAACCCCTTGAAGCTGATCTGTCAAAAAAAGGATCAAAACTTCCGAACAACTCAACAATTTAGGAGCCCAATTTCACCGCTAATAATGACTGAGTTTCCTTTTGAAACCGTGAACAAGTGTCCCACAAGAATGGAAACCGAGGACTAATTAAGCCAGACAAATGAATTCATCAACCTGAGTTTACATCACCAGTCGGTCAACATAATTCCGCTTACTTTGAAGCAGTGAAAGGCTTCGAACGCAATTTGTTTCTTTTCGCTTTTCAACAAATTCATGATGATTTTCAAATTCTCCGGATCCGCGATATACCTTGTCATTACGGAAAAGTTATGCCGTTCTAACAGCAGTTCACCCAGCAACTGGAAAGAAAAGGCAATGAAAAAGGTGTTTGGTTACTTGAACTTAAATAGACGGTCAAGAACATTCCAAAAAAGGAGGTAGATCGTTGGTAAAACTAAATGATGAAGTCCTGAGTTGGAAACTGACAATGATTTACGAGTTTGTAGTATCAAACGCACAGTGTCAACTGGGTTCAATCTTTGCCGACTTTGTGTGTACCAAACATGCTCAGTAGCCTCTCAAATGCTGGCATTCCCATTAAGGTGGATTGCATGTTCGAACAATATTTGAACCAGCCGAGTACCAACAGCACTTGTTATGCCAACCAATGTGTGCCATTAGATCACATTAACTTGGACATTCTGAAGACGGTGCGTATAATGCCTCAACTGATTGTCCGGGTAGGATGAAAGCTGATGCGCTCTCAAAAAGCAAATGAGATTTATGTCACACAGAGCAATCACTCACCACGTTAGAGGTGCTTGAGCTTCAAACTCTCACAAACACAGCATGACAGCTACGCACTACTGGGAAGTGCAAGTCCGGTCAATCGATCGAATTAGACGAAGAGAGAATCAAAGCCTAACAGGATGAGAGCTGGGCGTGGGGTCAAGTCCCAAAAACCAGTATACTCGCCAAACAACAACGGGGCATCTGTTGATGATTGGTGTGTGCCAGACGACAGACCTCATAGCACCTAATCACACACACACACATACACACACACACCAAACGACCATACCAAATTTAACCCCTCCCTCTATGATAAAATGTCCACTCATAGTATTAGGAGAATCAGCCCCGAACGTAACGGGACTACATAAATGCCAATGGAATAACCGCTTTTCGTTGAAACAGATTTCATTGGTTGTTCTTCACTCGCCCTTGACAGACGAGTGGTATTCTTAGTATCACGTTTGACTGCTTGCACGCGACAGTGATCAATAGAGCAGCTGACTCGCAAGCTCATTGACTTTTCTGGTTTGGTCAAGCGGACCAGGCGATCAAGCGGCTATCCAGATCGGGGTTCGCGGTAATAAGAAGGCATATAAGGGACTGTGGTCCACAACACATGGTAACAACCCCACATGAATGTAACGTTTTGGTGATGACCAGGTGACTTCACGGATGTTGAATGGACAGAGGCCGAAAGTCCAGTTCACATAGGGGCAAAGCGGATGACCGAATGACCACAGATCACAGTTTGTTCAGTGAGTAAATATCCTGCCTGAAAGTTGTCACTTTGGTGTGTTGGTTGGGCTCGAGTGCAGCAATGATAGCTCGGGTCGCGCTGACTGGAACTTTGTTCCAGGAAAGCCAGAGGGGAAGAGTCAGGTCAAGGGCAGCCAGATATCGAGTGAACTTTGGTCTACATGTTGCTTCGCATCATATAATGTCAGTGATAGGTATTGTTGACTCCCCCTGTGAATCAGTAGCAATCAGTAGTTATGTTCCTGTTTGTTTGACTACTCATGAGTTGCGCCTGTTTATTATAATGACGTTTTGCTCCCCTGCCACTCAGTCACTGTGGTTTTGCTCATGCTTGAGGTCTGCTTACCCTCTAGTTACTAGTGTCGAGAGTTCGTCACCCACCTGTCCCCGCTTGCGATTTCGTGTCAACTCAACCCACCTTCGAGAGTCGGGGGTCGAAACCGAAACCTCTCGGACAGCAGACGAGTGTGCTACCTGATGTGCCAATTGGAATTTCCCGGAAGCCCTATTTTTGTATCACCTTGGCATTGCATTATACCTGATAGTGCTTGTTTGAATTTTGTTTTAAACGGGCCTAAGTGCGCACCTCGGCTTGACACGTGGCACGTGCTATTCTGTCAAGCTGTTAGGTATTTGTGTCAAATTCACCCACTGCCCGTTTTCCAGACAGTCCAAATTACCTCCCGAACGTATCGACTGTCTTCAGCGACGTTATCTCTGTCTGACTGTCGATATCCTAAGCCCAGTTGCCTGTCTGCCCTTTATCTGCTCCTACCGATTGCGCTATCGTTGATAGTACGCTTTGCTTAATTCATGATGTGTATTAATCAATTTGTCTAGAGAACTAGTTCCCAATTCAGCATTTACTGCCTTTACGCGTCTGTTCACTCCGCCTACTGAACTGCGTATAGTCGGATAACTCCGATCCCTAGTCCCCCGGATCTTACAGATAGCACTGTGTGAATATTCGGTGTGGGATCTTGTTGTTTCGTTTCTCGCGTCCCAGAACAATCGGACTCTCTATGTTTGTTTGTCATCCCGTATTCTTGTTCTGGTCGTGCACTGATGAGGGGCCGCAACGGACGCTAACTGTTTCGTCTCCGCACATAAAAAATCCGAAATTACCTGCCATGACTGCCGCAACAGTTAAATTAGCGTCTGAAAATATTTCTGTATTTTCTCCACTAACTCTAAACTTAATGGTAGTTGTTCTGTTCGTTCAGCTGGCCAATTTGCTTGCAAATGTTTCGCCACCAACCGAGATGACATCACTAGTACGTAGGAGCTGACGGTGAACCGTACTGCGTCGGTGTGCATAACGACGCACCGCCAACTCACTTCACACCGATTAGGTTAATTCGGTTCGTGGCGGAACGTTTGCAGCTATAAAGTCCAACTCAGCGAACAGAACAACGACCATCTACACTACCATTTATGTCGACGCGATAGTGATTGGCCAAAAGATCGGACCGCTTGCCGGTCCAACATTAACGCGAGCTCTGATTGGCCGAAAGGATGAACCCAACAGGCAATCATTATTCAGCATCCATCGAATGCCGGTTGCCAATGCCGCAACCAGAGCGACGGAATTTTCGGGATGTTGTCTCATACACTTTAAACACAATGTGTAGTACGTGTGTTTCTGACCTGACGTCGAGCGTTTAATACACCTTGTGCATCTTTGGTGGGTGTTTTCCGAAAACTCTAGCTAGGAAGGTTCAGACCGAGAACTGAGCTGAGGCGTCACGATCATTACAAAGGTTCCGATAGAATTCCCAATGTCGTTCAAATTCTTTGCATATTCGTTATCCACACATACGAGTGCAACACAGTTTGACCCCATCACACAGAACTTTAAGAACGACCTAAACATGGCAGGTAATCACGAAGAAGTATTCCCATATACCAGCAGCAACAACAACGACGAAGCAACGATGATTACTGCAAACTCGACAAACACTTGGACTAATCGTAGTGTGAACAGAGTTGGGAATTTTTAATAGATGTTTCGTCCTGTAAGCGAGGCCAATCTATGCTGCAAAGCCGAGATTGGCACTGCACAGCTGTTTCATCCTTGTTGGGAATCATCAGGCGTGTGCATCTCACGAAACTCCTAGGAGTCATGTTTCATCCTTGTTGCGAATCATCAGGAGTGTGCATCTCACGAAACTCCTAGGAGTCACGAACAAGGTGGGCGAAACTTTCATGTGAGAGGAGCCAGTCCATATGTGGGACTAAGTGAAGTGGCTTCTGTGAGTGAAGGATGAGCGGCGAGTTAATCGCAGTGGCAATCAGGCGCTCACTGCCGAGCAGTTAAGTGTTCAAACTCAGGCTCGGGTTGATGAACCCGGCATAACAGAGTGAACTACGAGAAGATACCGGAACTGGACCAGAATTCGAATCAAGTGGAACAATACAAAACACTCGACGGAAAGCTATTCAGTGAGAGGAACGACGACTTATTGATTCAATCTACCCGCGGTGAATGGCGGATGCAAGTGCCATAATCAGTCGGCACGAGAAGCCGCGGATATTCACAACATTCCAGGATTAACGGAGTTCAACAAAAAGCACATGGCGAGCGAGAATGTGACGGACAAATGGCAGGTGATCATGGGTCGCAATAGCGGTGAAACGTGATCAACCGCCCGGCCCTAAAATTATCAGTAGATTGGCTGAGGTGGTAGCGCACGCAACAACCCATGTTTTATTTTTTTGAAAACTAGGCCAAAAATGTAGTAGGCTAGTGAGCACCTGGACACTGATGGACTGAACTAAAAATCCCAAACGATCCAGAAGACGTAAGTTGATGAACGACCAGTCAGCAGATTTTTCCCCGGTCAATACAACTGTACGCGCTAGTTCAAAAAGACTATCGAATGGATGAGTTAACATTGCGAAGTGTGGTTCAATTTACCGTGAACAGCTGTGTTAGAGAAGGGAGGCATAACTGAGTGCCTATCATAAATAGGGTGAGGCGAAATCGTTAGGCTGGGAATTTTAGTATTGTTTCGGTGATCGGTTTGGCGGGAATCGTAGTCATATCTGCTAGACATTCTAAAGAGAAGCACCTCAGTAAAGAAATGCTGAAGTAAGTGCACTGGCGAAAATCCACAATAAAAAACAGCCGAGTAACCTAACCTAGGCGAGGTGGCTCAAGTGGTTAGAGCGCAAATTTACTGACCGGAAGGTCCGTGGTTCGAACCCAATATCTGCTTCTTGACTCCCCCTGTCTAGGCTTGGATGTACCCCAGCCCTCGTGCTTCTTTCGGGTGGCATGAAGGCTAGGCACCGAAAAGATGCTACAGCTGAACGACTCTAGTGATACAAAGAGTGATATGCACCTGACAGGTTCCTCTAAATTCATAGCGAAATTGGTGTGTTTATCTGTAACCACGACTGTCCACTCCGTTTTGCCAAGCAATCGAGGGATCCAGCCATTTCCAATAACTGATAAGATATAATCCCTCAATAAGGGATTGGCGAACAGACAAACAAATCCCTTCAAAACATTTTCGATGATAATCACCCCGTTTTTCCGTACAAAGTGTACTCATATGTTGGTAGTGTGAGGAGATTTGGGATTTTTGCGAAGATTTCGTCCTGTAAGTGAAGCCAATCTATGCTGAAGAGCATATATGTACTCATATGTCACCATCTTCCCTCCTCATGTTCACTTGTTCTTCGATTAGGAAGCCTTACTTTTCGCGCCCAAGATTTCTGTCTCATGACATCATCAAGAAGTTTGATAATGCATGAATCTCCTGCATTGACCGAGTTGTCAACCCGTTTGGTTTCCCAGTCCATTAACTTGATATCCAACGTCGTTCTCCCCGATTTCTCCATGACTCGTGAAAGCCATCCTATTCACAATTACGTCCAATGAAAATCAACTCCTGCATTGTGATCTTCGGAATTCACCTTCTCGGTTTCCAAAACAATGTCAGGATTTGAGACCGCCATATCGCAAGGACTACATCGTACTTCTTGTCCATCTGACTGCTCTTGAACCGCAATCCTATAAAATTTACCATAATATTCCGTTGATACAATAAAACCCCTCAACAAGCGACACCCATTGGGGGGGGGGCAAAATGCCTGCCTTCCGATAGCGACTTAACCCCCTTTTCATGGGTATTGCGGTCCAGACACTCAATAGTGCGTTTATCCAGAGTGAGCGTTGGATGGCTCAGAGGCTGAAACGCGAACTTATTGACTAGATAGTCCGACCTCCGCATCTCGACTGCTACTACCTAGGCTTGGACAGCTAGGCAGTATCTCGGCCTTCGTGCTTCCTTCGCGTGGCATGGCGGCTATGCACTGAAATGGTCCTACAGCCGAATGATTGCCTTATTTTGCTTTCGACAGCCGACATCCAAACTACGATCTCCTTGCTAAATGTTATACAGTCATATCCCTTTTGGAAACCCAGTCATTCCACATTGGGGTTATCATTAAAAAACATACTGGTTTTGTCCATCTTCTATGCATTACCATGAAACATATACAGCCAAACGAAGTGTTTGTTTTCTTTCAAACAAAGTACTGTGTTGGTGGACACTGCACCCACTTGTCGACACGAAATTAACTGCAGATGCCATAACAAGAATCTCGTCCTGCGAGCCAGTCAGTGGTTATGGTAGCTCATTCGGTTTGTCTAGTTCGCCGCTTGCTGGTTGCTGATCGTTCAATAGCTCACCAAAGGTTTCGCCACGAACGCTCATCGAGCACATCTCGTTGAAGGGTGGCGAATCATTTGCAAGACAACTGTCAAGCTCGGTGGACATATCAACAACTAATCAACGAACCCGACCTGCCAGTATTTCCACATATGGTTACTTCGGCTGCCTTCTATTTCAGAGATGTGCTAGGAACTGTAGTGTTTCCGGTATGATCATGGTTCTGGTATTTGTTACAACCTACTGCAACCAACCTGCAGAGCTCCCAAAGTGCATGCTTTCATCCCCATGGCCCACCTGATGAATCAGTTGTTTCCGTCCGAACGACTTGTGAGAGGATGCTTATGTCTTCCCGGGTCGAATTCTTCGATCTCCTCAGCGTATATATTGAGTGGCCGAGACGAAAATGGTGGTGATTAGCTCTAGCACGACTTCGAAATATGGTGTCCCATCACTGTGGATACCGTAATTAATAGGCTTGCAAAACACAGGAGAACAGAGTGCAGTTTAGGCCTGGGGTGACAAACAGGCGTCTTAGCTTACAAAAGTCAAGCTTAAGTAAGAACTTCAAAGCACAGATTTCGCACGCTAGCACTGACCTACAAACATACAAGCGAACGCATATGTTGTGCCCCGGTTCAACTCATGGTCGGTCATGAAAAAAGCCCTGGCATGGCCATTCGACAAAACCTACCTGAGACAAAGTGGATCGGTTTAGAGCGTGACTAAAGTTCATGCAATAGTCTGTCTTCCCAATATTTCACTAAAATACAACACAGCAGTATCTCCCTGGGGACCTAAGTTCATGAAAATTTAATAGAATAGCGGAGAAAATACAAAAAGAACATTAGTATGCAGCCGCGTGCCCCTTTGAGAGCGATGTTCGGCCTCCGGAACCACGTTCGACGTTCCCCTCTAGATTCAGCAAGGAGTCCCTGGTTCTTGTGAGAAATCCATAAATATCTGGGCCTTCGGTAAGTGCAGTACCTTCGAGCTTCATACATTACACCTGCTAGAGTTGAGGCCACTGAAAATTCACTTTTGCTAGTATATAAAGCAACCAGCGTCCTTAGTATGAAGATGTGTAATAGCGGTATTTTCTCAGCTCAGTTCTCGGTCTGAAACTTCAAAGCTAGTGTCCCCGTGAAAACAACCATCAAAGGTGCACCATGTGTAGTAACGCCCAAAATCAGGTCAAAAACATATACACAGCGCCTAGCACATAAAGTATGTATGGCGACAACATTCCGGAAGTTCTGACGCCTTCTACATGCGCAATCGGCAATCAGCGAATACTGAATCATGATTGAGTGTCGAGTCCACACTTTTGACCAATCAGAGCTCGCCTTCGTGTTGGACCAGGAGGCAGTCCGATCTTCTGGCCAATCGGGTGCGGGATAGGTCTCAGCCGTATCAGCGCCTAACTGAAAGTGGTAAAGAGGTATCGAGACCATGTGTAGTAACGCCCAAAATCAGGTCAAAAACATATACACAGCGCCTAGCACATAAAGTATGTATGGCGACAACATTCCGGAAGTTCTGACGCCTTCTACATGCGCAATCGGCAATCAGCGAATACTGAATCAATCATGATTGTCGAGTCCACACTTTTGACCAATCAGAGCTCGCCTTCGTGTTGGACCAGGAGGCAGTCCGATCTTCTGGCCAATCGGGTGCGGGATAGGTCTCAGCCGTATCAGCGCCTAACTGAAAGTGGTAAAGAGGTATCGAGGCGGAATTCTGCCAGCCCAAATAATATCCTGGGCACTATGGAAGATATCGCAAACGACACCTAATGAATACATAACTGAAACAAAAAAATTCAAGCGCAGACATTAAAGCTCGAGTTCCCAAAGGAGTTCGGTGCGATATGATGTTTATCCACTCTCCACTAAGAGGCATCAATACAGTATATGCCACAGACCGTTAAGCTGCACTTATCCGTACTCAAGTTGTCTGAGAAAAATTCTCATCCTACAGCGCAATACAACATCAAATTGTTTAATTCAAAGTTGCTAAACAAAGGTCCGACACCGAACCCCGTATCGTCATTAGAGGACAATTCAACAGCATCGTGAACACTACTCACTTTCAGGGCCTGACGATTTGTGACGTAGTTTTCCGCTGCAATCATGTTCGAATAGTGTTTGAAAAATTCGTCATAGTTCGTGCTCAGGAATTCAGCGACTAGCGTTTTATGTCGCGTTAGTAAGTCCTTTAGAGTGGAGAACGCGTCCGAACTGACATCGAACGCCGTGCCTTGAACATAGTCAAACAGCTGATAGAACTCCGGGGAAGAGAGAACCACTTTGGCAAGAGATTCGTGCCGGCAGGCATCACGAAGGATCTGTGGGGCCATGGATAGCACAAGACAGTCATTAAACAGAATACAAGCCAGGCCATTGGGTACACAGAGAGAAAATCAAAGATATGTTCTTCCGATGCACTTTTGCTCTAGCTGCTGTCATTTCTATCGGCGTCCACCGGGCGAAACATTATTAAAGTCAACTCATAAAACAGGGTGCTCAAACTGGCCTGCAAAATATCTGGGTGTGCATTAGGTTTTCCGACAAAAACAATGAATACATGCGGTCGCTAAATGGTAATAAATGCTTGGGAATTCAAGCAACCGCTGAACCAACAGCCCTAGAATTAGAAGCAAAGCTCGCCGAGCAGAGGCGTCCTGCTTGTGAAGCGCCCACCGGCAACTGGAAATGAGTGGCTGGCTCCACAACTGCATTTAAAGAAACTACAAAGAACAGGTGCTAATTTAGTGACTGTGAGTTCTTGTGAAAGATGACAAAAATGGAGGCTTTTTACGGTGATCCAGCAAGGGTGTATCAGATCGGAAGCTGAGTGCTACACAAATGCAGCCAAAACCCTCTGCAGCGGCCACAGAATTACCCAAATTTCGTAGGCCGCGACATCAAGGTTACGCGGATGTCCTAAACTCGATTACCGCATTTGGGAGCCATACTCGAGCTTTGGAAGCGCAGCAAAAATTGTCAAGAAGTAGTTGGAGATTTTTGGCCGATTTATCTGACACTCCACCACACATCAATGGTTGGGATAAGAACAGAGGGAGAATGTCTGTGAAGCTTGCGCAAGGGGTGAAAGATCCAGAAGACCATTATCGATTTAGGTCTAGGATCCGGTCTTAACATCTTGGACACATGGTGTCCAATGGGTGATTGAGGTTTCGACAAATATCGTCGTTCGGCTGTAGCACCCTTTCGGTACCTAACTGCCATGCCACGCGGAGGTTGCAAGAGGGCTGGGATACTGCCAAGTTGCCCAAGCCTGGACAGGGGAAGTCCAGAGGCAGAGGTCGGGTTCGAACCGGGGACCTTCTAATCAGTAAATTCGCGCTCTAACCACTGGCCATTTCGTCTGTCACCTGTACACGAATTCGGTTTTAATAGTGGACTCGAGCGAATCCAGTTGAATCTCTCGTTCATGATGGGCCCCTAAGAATGGCGAAATCAGCGTCAGGTCGTCAAAGAGTTTACAACAACCTCAAGGGCACTCACTGTGTTGTAGCGAGTAAGGCTCACGTCTGAACTCCAATGTCTGGAAGGCCTAGGCCACAGGTCACAGGAATCATTGTTCTAGGTTACCAGGAATCCCAAAACTACAAGCAAAGTGATTTGTTCTCAAGTTTTACATCAAAGGGTTTGGGTATTGTTCGTGCAGTGCGCCGTCCAGGATGAGGCCCCCTGCGATTGGCTGGAGACACTGTAAGAAAGGCGGCTGATCGATGTCAGTGGCGTTCGTGTTGTCAACTTATTTCCAGACTGCTTGGAGGTGTAGGTACCTTAGAATGCGTGCAATAGGTCAGCAACAAGTCCCATCCCTCACCCACCCTGATCCCTTGTTTTCATTTCAAGGCTTTAAATAAAATTAGACAGACATTGTGGTTGTACGGCAATGAAGCATCAGTGTCAACACTGATGTTGCTGTCTTTGATGATGATTTACACTGTCATTACAATAAGCCAGAGAATACACATCGACGCGCCGTACCGTGTTCTTATAGTGACACGAAGGATGAAGAGGTCAAGCATCACGTTCGATTGGGCGTGGTACGATGGAGCTAAGCCGATTTCGAGCTACTAACGTAGGCACAGCAATTAGACGATGGTGATAGTAGCCACGTGACCTGCACAAAGCTCTTCCGCACCGATCGATGAACCACAAAGCGTTCTGCATGAATAAAATGTATGCACACACAAATTCGGGTTTGTGGGTGGCATTCTGGTTACACAAAGATAAAGTGCAGGTGCGTTTTCGCATTCTCGTGGACGGTTGGGACCAAAAAACCACACCAACTAAGGAAGATGATGTGGAAAGTCGGTTGGGTCGCTACAACCATGACCCATGCAGTGGTGGCACACGCTGGCTTTCGGTAGCAATAAAGACAGCTACCTAAAACGACAGTATCTTACTATTCGTCAGGCACTCGAGAAACACAAAGCTGATTGATTAGGTGCAAAAAATGCCTGCATAATACCTAGTGTAGAATTCGCATACATATTCCACATCAACCAATAAAACGCCGCGTGACCAATGCTAAACTCGCCATCTTAAATCATTCAAGGTTAGGGTACAGTGGCGAAGGAGGGATAATGTTAGGTTGCTCGGAGATATACAGGAGCAACTGAGCACATATTTCAGGTTATCTCGAGCTCAAAAGAGGTGGAAACGGAAGTCCAGGCTCGATCTAGGCTCACATAGTCCAAAATATACGTGAAGGTGCAAATACAACCTAAAGTACTCATGTAATATCGTACCGAACCCTCCCCTCCTACGGATACCAAGGGAATTTTCTAACATGAATCCTGTTCACTTCCGAAAACAGAAACCATAAATACGGTCAGAGAAGTATGATCTTTAGTTCAACGACTGACACTAGCAGTAGGCAGCTTGAAACAGAGTCAGTCTTCAATCTGCTTCAGTCTTCAGTCTATCTTCCAATCGGGAATTAGGGTAAATCTGTTCATCCAGTCCTCAGAAATGCAGGACAATAGTCTTACATCCGAAGGGCACTGCTGAACACGAGACAGCCTAGTGGTTAAGGCGCGAACTTAATGACCGGAGGGCCCGTGGTTCGAACCCGGCTGCGACATCAAGACTGCACCTGACTACACCTGAGCAACCTGACAGCATCTCAGCCTTCGTGCTTCCTCCGGAAGTCACGCCGGCTAAGCACCAAAAGGTTGCCACCGCTGTTTTTGTCATCCAACAGGAAAATGAAGGATAAATAGAGTAGCTGTTTTGACTACCCCATGCATCTGAACACATATGAAGACACTCATCAGAGGAACGCCAATTTTCGACATTTGAGATCAGGAAAGGTAGCTTGAAATAAATTGCCTAAGAATATCTCAAAGAGCATGCGCACCGCGCACAGGGCTTTAAACCCAAGGCTTCAACTACTCTAGTTCAGGTAGGGTAATTTGCTGTTGTGAATAAGCTTCCAAAAGCTTTCTTCAGGATTATTCCACTAACTGTACACACACGGCCACCACTTATGCGTCGTTTTCAGTGACTGCATCGTCCTCTTCCCCGCATTCACTAAGTTTCATTCTGAGAATAACCAACACAGAGGTATACAACAAAGACGTTATTGGAAGCACCGGTGTACATACCACCAGCATGGAACATTTCATTATTCCACGCAAAACGCGGTTGTCGACAAACAACTTCCTCGCAAATGATTTCGACGTAACGTATCGGATGCGAATCCACTTCAGTTCACCTCAGTTGAGTTTATCAGCTATAAACTAGGGACCAAAGGTACGTTGGCCCAGCTGCAACAGATTTTATCACAAAAAGGTGGGATAATATGTGTTGGAGGGGACGGAATGTTCAGTTGATTCGAGAACTGGGTAGCTAACCATTGACGGCGCGCCACTGACTGCGCGATCGGACCAGTATCATTAATCATTGGTGATTCGAATCCCGGGATCTTCATCTAGGGAGGCAGCTATTGTCGGCCAGACTCAATTTACTGGCTAGTTTTTATTATACTTCGTTGACGGGTCATACGTTGTCCACCGCTCGGTTGCTTCCAGTCAGTAGAAGCCTGGGCAAAAAAGAGCTCTGCAAGGCTAACAGAATCAAAAGCAGCTTTCAGATCAAGAAAAATTACCAACGTGAGACGTTTGAAAGAGTGGCGCTGTCCAAAAACTTGTTTCAGGGTAAAAATACGGTCCATGCATCTTCGGCAAGGTAGGAACCTAGCTTCATTCTCACGAACCTGTCTCCGCGATTATCGAGCAGCCTACGCAAAATACTGCCAGAAAGCACCTCGAACGCCATGGCTACCTAGCTGATGCCACGATTGTTTCCGCATAATGTTCTTGAGCCCTTTTTGAAGACTGAAATGACGTTCCGGACACTCCGTTCCACTGACATTCTGCTTACGTTCCAAATCGTCCGCAGTTAGGTCGTCAGCTTGTCCATCAGAACCTCACCACTTTCTTTGAAGATTACGGGATGCAGATCATCTGAACCCAGTGAGTCATTGCGTTGGACGAGATTCGGAGTGGCGTAAACAGAGAGGTGGCCAACCCTTGACTTGGCAGAGGAGTATGAAGGAGATCACGAAACGCTTGGGTGCTGTCGGTTCTACTCGCCTTCCAGGATGGGGACCGCGTGATCCTCACTGTGCCTGGTTGGAGACACTACAAGATATGGCTGCCAACTGATGTCAATGGCGTTCTTGTTGTCAGTTTCTGTCCAGATTGCCTGAGTGAATGTCTGGAGGTGTAGGCACTTCGGAATGATTGTGTTAAGCTAGCACTAAGTCCCTCCCCCATCCACCTTTATTCTCTCCTTTACAATAAGGCTTTCAAATAAGTCATGGTTGTACGGCGGTGAAGCATCGGTGTTGAACACTGATGTCATGCTATCGATGTGTGTGTGTGTTGGACTAGTTATGTTTCATTTTGGATTTGTACCGTTGGCGGCGGCTTAGTGTCAGTGTTTCATTCAATCCCATTATGTCTTCCCGCTCATCTTGCTGCTCAAAGCAATCCCGACAGATCTCGATAAGACCCTTCCTTCCCACTCTCAGAGCTGTGGTCTGTCAGGGCGTATGGTAATAGGACAAATGAACACGAGTTACCGCATCTTAATTGAACCGAACAACCGCACAGCGCAAAGACGACTGTTTACTGGGATCCACCCCATCAAAGAGCTTTTAGCCTTGGGGCTGAGTGCAACTCCCACACCGTAGATACCACGAGTCATTGCGTCAGGATTACCAGATACACGAAGAATGAAATATGGGACATCTGACTTCGTCCTAAGCGGTTTGAGGCACACGACCGAAGAGAGATCTTCT